CTGAACGCCGCAGTTCCAGAGGCAAGAACTGCGCCGTCGTCGAAATGCTCAAGTCCTCGCACTTCACCAGCTAACGTCGTCGCTATATCTGTCGATGGTGTTTCTACCTTTGCCCTCGTCGACACAGGTGCTGCCGTTTCTGTTATAGCCGCCCAGCTCTGCCGCTCCCTACGCAAAGTGACCACGCCGCTCTCTGGACTATCGCTTCGTACAGCCAGCGCACAACAAGTTCGACCTCTTGGCACCTGTACGGCCCGCATATTCATCCAAGGCTCTATGTACGTTGTCGAGTTCATCGTCCTTTCGGTGTGCTCGCATGACGTTATCCTCGGGTGGGACTTTCTGTCAAATCATCATGCCATCATCGACTGCGCACGCGCTGAAGTTCAATTTTCGCACCTGTGTGACGAACCTTTGCACGAAACCCTTGAGCGGTCGCCAAAACTTGTCGTGCGTGAGGACACTGAAATTCCGCCAGCCTCTCTTGCCGTTGTCCCGGTTTGCTGCGATGACTATAACGATGCTACAGTAATGTTTACACCTTCCGACATTTTCATGAGCCGCAGAGCCGTTTCCTTGCCTTTCGCTACACTCGACGTCACTGCGGGCCGAAGCAATATTTTCGTCCACAACCCCCTTTCTGCACCGCTTACGCTACTTGCCGGCGAATGTCTCGGTTGAGTGGAGTACCTCGATTCCTCTTTATTCCTTAACATGCCAGACGAATCGTGCAGTAGCGCCTCGACCGAACTTCATGCCCTTTCCCCACTGGAGTGCTCATCGAGTGACACCTTCTCGAGTTCCATCGCCGACACCTTAAGTGCCCATGAACGCGCCGAGCTTCTTAATCTTCTCCAGCACTTCGCGAATTCATTCGACGTTTCTCAGCCGCAATTGGGTCGGACTTCCGCAGTGCACCACTACATTGACACCGGTTCGCACCAGCCATTGCGTCAAAGACCGTACCGTGTCTCTGCTGCAGAACGTCACGTCATCAACGACCAGGTCGAAGAGATGCTACGCCGTCGCGTTATTCGACCATCGCACAGTCCTTGGGCATCTCCTGTCGTTCTAGTTCGAAAAAAAGATGGATCGATTCGATTTTGCGTCGACTACCGGCGATTAAACAAGGTGACGCGGAAAGACGTCTATCCATTACCGCGCATAGACGACGCCCTTGACAGCCTACAAGGAGCCGAATTCTTCTCCTCCTTAGACTTACGATCTGGATACTGGCAGGTTCCTATGGCAGAAGCTGATCGCCAGAAAACTGCGTTCATTACACCAGATGGCCTGTACGAATTTAACGTAATGCCATTTGGTCTTTGTAATGCTCCTGCCACGTTTGAACGGCTCATGGACAACACACTGCGTGGACTGAAGTGGTCTGTGTGTCTATGCTACCTCGACGACATTGTCGTTTTCTCTCCCGATTTTCCTACGCATCTGCTTCGGCTCCAACTGGTTCTGACGTGTTTAACCAACGCTGGGCTCCAACTGAACCTTAAAAAGTGCCGCTTCGCCGCGCGAGAGCTGTCCATCTTGGGACACATCGTCTCCAAACATGGTGTTCGACCCGACCCTGCAAAACTGCGAGCAGTCGCTGAGTTCCCGAAACCTACTACACTGAAAGAATTATGCAGTTTTGTCGGACTATGTTCGTACTTCCGGCGCTTTGTGCGAAATTTTGCATCGATCATGTCACCACTGACCAACCTCCTACGCGGTGATGCAGACCTTTCATCCTGGTCTTCTGACTGCGACGTCGCGTTTGCCACGCTCCGTAGTCTGCTAACATCTCCTCCAATTCTTCGGCATTTCGACCCAACAGCTGCAACGGAAGTTCACACAGACGCTAGTGGGGTTGGTCTAGGCGCCGTCCTCGCCCAACGCAAGCCGGGCTACTCCGAATACGTCGTCGCTTATGCGAGTCGCACACTCACTAAAGCTGAGGCCAATTACAGCGTCACTGAAAAAGAGTGCTTGGCGCTAGTGTGGGCCCTTCGCAAGTTCCGCCCTTATTTGTACGGTCGCCCATTCGACCTGGTAACGGACCACCATGCACTTTGTTGGCTCGCCACATTGAAAGACCCTTCTGGCCGCCTAGCTCGGTGGGCACTGCAAATCCAGGAGTACGACATTCGTGTCATCTATCGCAGCGGACGCAAGCATTCTGACGCCGACGCCCTGTCGCGTTCGCCTTTACCTCCCGACTCGGCCTGCGGAACCACTGGTATCTCCATCGCATCTCTCGACCTCGACTCCTTTACCAGTGAACAACACAAGGACCCGTGGATTGCTTCTCTTTTTAACTGTCTTTCTGGATCGTCAACCACTGCGGAACCACCATGCACTTTGTTGGCTCGCCACATTGAAAGACCCTTCTGGCCGCCTAGCTCGGTGGGCACTGCAAATCCAGGAGTACGACATTCGTGTCATCTATCGCAGCGGACGCAAGCATTCTGACGCCGACGCCCTGTCGCGTTCGCCTTTACCTCCCGACTCGGCCTGCGGAACCACTGGTATCTCCATCGCATCTCTCGACCTCGACTCCTTTACCAGTGAACAACACAAGGACCCGTGGATTGCTTCTCTTTTTAACTGTCTTTCTGGATCGTCAACCACTGCGGTACCACGATCTCTCCGACGTCAAGCTGCTCATTTCGCCATTCGTGATCGGCTACTACACCGACGCAACTACGCCCCCGAAGGTCGTAAGTGGCTCTTGGTTGTCCCGCGCAGCTTGCGATCACAAATCTGCGCCTCCTTTCACGACGATCCCCAATGTGGTCATGCCGGAGTTTTCAAAACTTACGAACGCATTCGCCATCGCTTCTACTGGCGCGGAATGTATAATTTCGTTCGAAAATTCGTTATGGGCTGTCCTGACTGTCAACGTCGCAAATCACCGCCTTTCCACTCGTCCGGTGCGCTTCAACCGCTTCCGTGCCCTGCCAAACCTTTCGATCGGATCGGAATTGATCTCTATGGCCCTCTACCGACAACATCAGATGAAAATCGGTGGATTATAGTCGCTGTGGACCATTTAACACGCTACGCTGAGACCGCCGCCCTTCCAAGTGCCACTGCGCGGGACGTAGCATCCTTCATCCTTCATCGCTTCATATTACGACATGGTGCACCTCGAGAACTACTAAGCGATCGAGGTCGAGCCTTCCTATCAGAAGTCGTCACGTCTCTGCTTTCTGAATGCCATGTTGTTCATCGCAAGACCACGGCATACCACCCGCAGACTAACGGACTCACGGAAAGATTTAACCGCACCCTTGGCGATATGCTCGCCATGTATGTGACATCCGATCATACTAACTGGGATCGCATTCTTCCATTCATTACGTTCGCATATAACACCGCGGCACAGTCTACCACTGGATTTTCACCTTTCTTTCTTCTTTATGGACGCGAACCATCCCACACCATCGATACTCTCCTTCCATACCGTCCTGACGCATCCGAATGCCCATCTGTGTCCGAAGCTGCCCGAAATGCGGAAGAGTGCCATGAACTCGCACGCACCTTTACGTCTCGAGAACAACAGCGCCAGAAAGAAAACAACGTCGACTCTTCACAAAGCCCCAGCTATTCCCCGGGATCACTTGTATGGCTGGCTGTTCCTTACCAAACCCCCGGCATTTCCTCAAAACTCGTTCCAAAGTACGAGGGCCCATACCGCGTTTTGGAGCAAACCTCGCCGGTGAATTTTCTCATCGAGCCACTTTCCCCATCTGACGACATGCGCCGGCGTGGACGTGACATCGTCCACGTCGCCCGCCTTAAGCCATATTATAGCCCTCTGCCTCCAGACTCTTAGGTCGCCAGGATGGCTCTTTTTCGGCGGGGGCAAATTGTGAAGAAGAAAGAGCGTCGTTGGCAAGCAACATCGCCACCGCTTTGGTACTGGGTGCTGGGCTTCGCTCGCTCGGCTCGTGCTGATCATCGCCGGCATCTGCTTGACCGTTGCTCTTGCACGATCGTGTTTCTTCGTAGGACCACCGTCGCAACAGTCGTCAATAAACCCTTTTTCAATACATTCGTTTTTTATAAATATATATAAATAAATAATGCTAATTAGTGTGGCACCTAGTGAATAACCATTATTCAATGTTTCTGTGCTCGACGGCTGTCAGGTCGCGTGGGCTAGCCAGTACCATTGTAACAGCCTCTGCGATTATAATAATATCTGAGATCTTATGCCCCAAAAGCACGATACGGTTAGAAAAGGTGCCGTAGTCCTTTCTGTGATTATAATAATATCTGAGATCTTATGCCCCAAAAGCATGATACGGTTAGAAAATAATAATTGATATGTGGGGTTTAACGTCCCAAAACCACCATATGATTATGAGAGACACTGTAGTGGAAGGCTCTGGGAATTTCGACCGCCTGGGGCTCTTTAACATGCACCCAAACTGAGCACACAGGCCTACTTTTCCGCCTCCATCCGAAATGCAGCCGCCGCAGCCGGGATTTGATCCTGCGACCTGCGGGTCAGCAACCGAGTACCTTAGCCACTAGACCACCGCGGCGAGGCTACAGTTAGAAAAGGTGCCGTAGTGAAGGGCTCTGGAAATTTTGACTATATAGGGCTCTTTAAGGTGCATTGACAGCACATGGGCCTCAGTCATTCTGCCTTCACCTAAATGCCACAGTCGTGGTGGAACCTGTGATATTCAGGTTAGCAGCAGAGCACCGTAGCCAGTGATCCACCACGGCGGACTTGTGTGCACGTCTACTCGAACATTTAGAAAATGAAAAAAAGTCTCACTTAGGTGCTCTTTGCAACCCGACAACGAAAGTATACTTTAGAAGCATAATTCTAATTTTCTGTTTGATCAGTGCATTTTGGCTGCACCGGTGTTTTGCTGTGACTTGGCATTAGAATACTCTTGCCTTTTTAGGCCACTTGTTGCAGATAATTCAGTGCCCTAGTTTCATTCACTATTATTCTTACGGTCCCCTGCTTCTTTCCTCTCTTTCAGAAAAAACAACGAGGATGTCGTGATGGTGGTGGGAGGGGAGGGTTTGGACGTGACCCTGTTTGCTGCCAAGGTCGAGGAGGCCATGATCAGCCAGACGGGCTATTACTTGGCCTAGCACATGACCCAGCTCATTTTTTAGCTGTAAAGTTGGTATTTTTATACAAGCAGATCATGTACCAGAATAGAAAGTTGGGCGAGTTGGTGTGTATTCATATTAAAAGAAAAGCGGCGCACAAAAAGACGGAGACAAAGAAGAGAACCACAAACAGCGCTGCACTCACAACTGAAAGTTTAATCCGAGCAACAAGAATTTAAAAAGTAAAAGCCGCGCATGACAAGTGAGGTACAACGAGATTAAATGATACGCTCATCAATAAAAGTGAACTCTTTTTTGTGCAATGTAACCGAAGTCTGGCTTACGCAAGCATCACGTGACTTGTTAATATGATAGGCTTCAGACACCTCACGGGTGAATTGATCGTGGTGCTTAAAAATAATAACAGTGTTAGACAGATCAGGTGTGCACCCACACGTGGCACAATGCGAAGCCAAATGGGAAGGCGGGCCGTTATGCAAAGGGAGATAGTGCTCCCGCAACCTTTTATTAACACAGCGGCCCGTCTGTCCCACATAATAAAGGCCACAAGATAAAGGAATGCGGTACACCACCCCCACAGCACAAGGCACATACTTATTTCTATGGTTTACAGCACATATCTTTACATCTGGCTTGTCCTTCTTGTCTAGCTGATTTGACACCAATGCACATATCTTTCCCAATTTATTGGGTGCCCTAAAAACCACATCAACTCCGTAGCGGGAACCAACATGTACCTTGATTTGTTGTGGACATCTTGAGGAGGGAAAGGTCATGCATTTTTGTTTCGCTTTTATTATCAGGGGCCTCCCGTGGGAGCTTCTCGCTTAAGTTTACGACTGTGACTGTACAGGCGTGAAAGAAAATACAGGGCAGTGAAAGGGCAGAGTCTTTAAAGCTACAACGAGGTTTCGAATGGCTACCTAGTTTATGTAGTATATACATAATTAGAGCAAAATGTACCTATTTCTACAAGAATGGTGTGATAAAAAATTTATAGCAGAGTACATACACACTATACTCGTTACTTTTTGTATCCAGAGATGTCAATACATACTTCTTGACATTCGTAGGCAGTACTTAATAATGGGCCTTTGTGACCCAGAAATGAAAATCATAAAAAGATGTCTTAATTGTGTATAATTTTTCATAAAAACATGCCAAGAGGGTCTTAATTGTGTATAATTTTTCATAAAAACATGCCAAGAGGCACCCTGATGGCAATTATCAAATAGCTGTGGACTGATTGGTTTTTTGAAATACAATCACTGTTTTCCATATACTCTAAGAAAAAATGGGAGTATATGCTATGCAACAATCATTGTCATTGAACTTGCTCGCACTTTATTTCTTGAAAACCCGGCGCTGGCCACTTCCCTGTCGAGAATAATATTAATAACAGGCGTGACGTTCGTGACCCCGGACTGCCAGAACCGTGGTGATAACGCGAGGAAAGTACTCAAAGTAGATGAGGATTATTGTTATGTGGCAGAAGCTGTCCCTAAATGCTCGATTTCTTTTTAGAGTGTAGGCCAACAGCAAGCTACATGCTCTGAAAATTGTGGTTTGAAGGGCTGCATTACCCATTTGGGTACTGCAGATGCTGGTCTATCAAGCACGATAAGTTGGAAGCATTTTGTATTTAATGACAAGCAAATTCAAAACAAAGTTCATTTTGTGCAATGATGCTTTTTGCTAAAGCATGAAGTAACAATACAATATTGAGTTCATTAAACTGGGGGCAATGGCTCTTCATTTTTCTTTGTACACGCATCATAAGGAAGACAACAAACAAATGTAGACCAATCAAATGTAAGAATAACTTGTTTGTGTGTTACTTAGCAAGTAACTTACCTCCCTTCATCTTGAGTGCAGCGTATAGTTTTTCTTGTGTGAACATGCATTTGCAACATAACAAAGTTGTAAAAACAGCAATCACACATAATTACTCACAGAATTCACTGAGGTGCAACAGCAGTAGAAAAGCATAATCCTTGTATATCGCTCGGCAGTGCATTTTGGTGCTTTCATGAAAACCATTTTATGTCTCGCCTCACTCGGCGCTCTTCAAAATGTAAACTGGGACTAGATAAAACCATCTCCAAATAGATAACCATTGCATGTTCAAGCCAACAAAGCATTCAGCCATGATAAGTCTTGATTGCAACACAGAAAAAATGAAACGAGATGTTAAGTTTTTCTGTAATTTAAAAAAGTCATAGAAATATTTACGCATTTACGTCCAGTTGAATTGGAGCATTCCGAAAGTTAGTGCAACCTGCATGCACTTATCCTGGCCATCATCTTGATTAGCAGAACTATTTGTATAAAGGAGGTGGGTTGTGACATGGGACTTTGTTGAATTGTGCTGACTACGGCCGCAGAATAGGCAAAGGTCTTAAATAGAGCGCCTCCTCTCTCTCTTGGCCACATACAGCAGACTCTCAGTAAATAGAAATCTGTTAAACGGAACCACTGCTTAAGTGGAACTATTTCCTCTGCAATGCTTGGTTGTATTTTGCACCTATGTTCACCTCTCAGTAAACAGAAGTCCTGTTAAATGGAACATATTTTTCCAGTCCCTTCAGGTTCCGTTTACTGAGAGTCTACTGTAATTTAGAAGCCTCCCAGTTGGAGCTGCATTTGTTGCAGGTGTAAATTGCACTATCTTTCAGAATGTTCACATTAAATCAGAGATAAATGCTTAATTATCTCATTGTGACTTTGAAGGAAATGAAAACTTCACATTTTTTTTTTTTTTTTTGCAATAATGGCTCGCTTATCGCGGCTTAAAACCTTGTTTGCTCAAGCATGGGATGGTTAATCATTTGGACATGCTTGCTTGCCAACGGTGGGTGGCGGTGATCAAATTTTTTTTCTTGCTTCATAATAATCACATAAACATAAATAAGCACGAACACTTAAAACCACGATATCGTCATTCCCATATGAATATGCATAAGCACATCAGGCAATGCGTCACACTTTGCCACACATTCAAAGTTTTATTTTTTCCGGCTTTCATTGAAATTGAAATTAGAACTGAAATTGGAAAATTGTAAAGAAAATGGGAAACCTTTCTAAACTGTAGAAGGGCTGCATCCCTTCTGATCAATGAAAAGATTAGAAGAAAGGGAGCTCAGTGGCTGGCAGAAGTACATAAAGAAGATAGAAAGGCAGCTGCGAAATTTTGGAACCATCTAAACTCCCTAAGAAATGAGACGAGCCTAGAGCAGAGTTTTATAACTACAGCCCAAGGTGCCAGGCTAGAAGGGGACGAAGCTATTGAATATATATGAACAAGGATGACAGAAAAATTTCAACAAATTAGTACTTTATGCACCACAATAGACAAGGACGAATCAAGTGGTGCAATGGCTCCATTTTCACAACGACAGTGGGAAAGGGCTGAGAAAAGGATTCCTAGTAGTACATCAACAGGCCCAGATGGCATTCCAATTAGGCTGATAAAGACATTAGGTCCGAAGTCTAAGCAGGCTTTGAGAGAGGCAGTGAGCAAAATAATAATCGATGGTGAAGTTCCCGATGGATGGAAACTTAGCCGGATGAGCATGATCTATAAAGGAAAGGGGGACAAAACTGACATAAACAACTACCCTCCTATAACAGTGACATCAGTGGTCTACAGGCTGGCGATGCAGATTATAAAGGAGAGACTGCAGGCATGGATAGAGGATGAGGGGCTGCTGGGGGAACTGCAGAATGGGTTTCGGAAACTCAGGAGATTGGAAGACAATCTGTTCTCACTAACGCAGTGCATCGAAATAGCAGAAAAAGAACACAGGCCCCTGTGGCTAGCATTTTTGGATATCAACGGAGCGCACGATAGGGTGGTTCAAGAGGAACTGTGGGGAATACTGGACACATAGGCGTAGAAGATGTACTAGTCACTAATTTTTTAAAGGAGATCTATAAAAGTAACAAGGTAGTTATAAAGTGGGAAAAACAGGTATCTAAGCCCAAAGAGGTGAAACGGGGGCTTAGGCAGGGGTGTCCTTTGTCACCCTGGTTATTCGTGATGTACCTACAAGGATTAGAGGCCAAATTAAAGGGAAGTGGACTGAGTTTCAACCTCTCTTTCGTCAAACAAGAAAAACTCATTGAACAGGCACTACCAGCATTGATGTACGCAGATGATATAGTGCTAATGGCCGACAACAAGGAAGATTTGCAGAGAATGGTGGGCATCTGCTGTAATGAGGGAGATAGGTTAGATTTCAGATTCAGTAAGGAAAAATCAGCAGTCATGATTTTTAATGACAATGAAGGTAGTGAGCTTAGAATACAGGAGGTCACGCTAGAGATAACAGATAAATACAAATATCTGGGCGCATGGATAAGCAATGGGACCGAGTACCTAAGGGAACACGAAATATGCGTGTCGACTAAAAGTAACAGGAATGCAGCGGTAATGAAAAACAGGGCACTGTGAAAATAAAATAGGTATGATGTTGTGAGATGAGTATGGAAAGGGGTCATGGTTCTTGGTCTGACGTTTGGCAATGCGGTCTTGTGCATGAGATCAGAAGTTCAAGCAAGATTAGAAATTAAGCAACGCGGAATAGGTAGGCTTGCCTTAGGAGCTCACGGGAATACGCCAAATCAGGGAGTACAAGGTGATATGGGATGGACATCATTTGAGTGCAGGGAAGGTAGCAGCAAGATAAAATTTGAGAAGTGATTGAGAGAAATGGGGGAGGAGCATCGGGCTAGGAAGGTGTTCAGCTACTTTTACACGAAGAATGTCGATACAAAATGCCGTAAGCGAACCAGAAAATTGACTGGTAAATACTTGAAAAACAGCAGGGGGCCAAACCAAAAAGAATTATCGGTTAAGAAGAAGGTGGAGGAAGCTGAGACCGATATGTGAAGAATCGGCATGATTGAGAAGTCTGCACTTGAGATCTATCGAACTGTTAAGCAGGAAATAGCCAAGGAAACGATTTATGATAATACCCGGGGTAATTCTCTACTGTTTGAGGCCAGGACGGGAGTATTGCGAACAAAGACATATCGGGCCAAATAAGAAGGGGTAGACACGGTATGCAGTGCGTGTGGAGAGGAAGAAGAAACTGCCAAACACTTGATAATGTTCCGTAAAGGGCTTCACCCTGTAGTTCAGGTTCATGGCGCAAAGTTTTTCAAAGCACTGGGGTTTAGGGACAGTGAGGGCAAAATAGACTTTAAGCGGGTAGAATTAACTAGAAGGAGGTTATCAGATTGGTGGCTAAAGTCGAGGCACGAATGAAAATTGAACCCTTCACTGCAAAGTACGAATTCTCAACCTCACTATTTAAGGGAAAAAAAAATAAATCTAGTTTTTGGTTCATTAAGTATTACGGCTTGGTGGCGCTAGCCACCGCCTGATCTAAAGGGTACAGCCATATCAATCCATCCATTCATAAATAAATATAAATCTGCATCAGCAGCCTGTAGACCACTGATGTCACTGTTATAGGCAGTAGTTGCTTATGTCAGCTTTGCCCCCTTTCCTTTATAGGTCATGCTTATCCTGCTAAGTTTCTATATATCGGGGACTTCACCATCGATTATTGTTTTTCTCACTGCCTCTCTCAAAGCCTGCTTAGACTTCGGACCCAATGTCTTTATCAGCATAATTGGAATGTCATCAGGGCTTGTGTATGTACTACTAGGAACCCTCTTTTCAGCCCTTCCCCACTCTCGTTGTGAAAATGGAGCCATTGCCCCACTTGATCCATCCTTGTCTATTGTGGTGCATAAGGCACTTTTTTTTGAAATTTTTCTGTCACCCTTTTTCTTATATATTCAATAGCTTCATCCCCTTCTAGCCTAGCACCTTGAACTGTACTTATAAACCACTGTTCTAGGCTTGTCTCATTTCTTAGGGAATTCAGATGGTCCCAAAATTTCACAGCTGCCTTCTACCCTTTTTATGTACTTCTGCCAGCCACTGAGGCACCTTTGTTCTAATCTTTTCATTGATCAGAAGGGATGCTATCCTTCTAATGCTTAGAAAGATGTCTCATTTTCTTTCAACATCATCTGTCGGTTCACCCCGCTGCTAACCATGTCTGGGTTTCCTAGAGTATTCCTGACATTTTGCTATGACTCTCTTAACTTCCTCATCCCACCAACTCTTGTGTTTGTATCTTCCGGGGTGACTGTCACGTTCCTTGGCAAGCTCTAGCTCAATCAGTCTAATTAGATGCGTGTATGTCCTCACTATTTTATTATCCTAAGTGATTACTTTCTCAATTTGTTTAGTGGCTATTTCAATTTGCCTTTCTGAATAAAAATTTTCCTGTAGTTGCTCATCTTGTCTCCTTACCACTTTCACTGCTCTTCCAAAACTTAGCTTGATAAGTTTGTGATCACTACCTAGACTTCTGGAGCCACCTTCATCTGTGTGCATTCCCCTGAGCTTATCATACATCCTATGTGACATCAGTGCGTAATCTATCGTCCACTGCAGCCTTTCTACCTCCCATGTTATTAGCACTTCACACTTCTTGGTACTGTTGCAAATGATGAAATCATGCCTTTCACACATATGCATGATCATTTTGCCTGTCGGGTCAGTATACCCATATATATCTTCTATGTGTGCATTCATGTCTCCTAGGATATTTATCTCGCATTATCCTCCTAATTCCTCAATGTACTTTGATGTACACTCCATTATTGCCTGGTTTCTTTCTGGCTTTCTGGCCTTTGCTGCCATCGAAATGTACACCAAACTAAAGAGTGGCATCTGCCCAGCTACTTTCCCTCTTAACCATAAATGTTCCATCCATCCCTGCTTGACTCTTTGCAAACCCATACTTTTATATATGAATGCACCAATTCCATCCCCATTTTTGCTGCCTTCTGTTCCTTTGCAATATTCCCATACGTAGTCCGGATTGCAAGGTGGTTGCTCTGTGTCCCGAAGATGTGTCTCCACAACTCCATATACCATGAGCTCCTCCTGCCTCAACTGCTCTTCTATCTCTTCCCACTTAAACCGATTCCTGCCACCCTGCATGTTAATATAGCCAATGTCTGACTGAGGTCGGCTCTTGTGCTTACGTTGATTTCTTGTTCCACGGACTCCGTGTGGCTTGAATATTTGTGCCCCTTTAGAACCATCTTTGGCTACACTGTTGGCCTCAAGGCTCTGGGTCCCCCTATTTTTACACGTACCCACAGCGTCCTCTGGGGCATTGTTGTATGGGGTTCACAAATGAAAAGTGCATACACGGCAGTGAGAACAAATTGTGTGGCACAAAACAAAGTAAGAACAAATCAAAATTAGATAAATCACAGCATACAATATATGCACACAATACAAGCTGGACATTTCTGCTTTGTTAAATGAAAAGAAAAACGTGAACAGTGGAAAGAAAAAAAAGCGACATTGTGTAACAACATACTCCTTTACCCCGCTTAGGCGCCTGCGTAAGCAGGCGTTTGGTGTGTAGCGGCACCACGGACCCAAGCTAACGGGCGGGTTTCGACTCCCTCCCACATCTAGCCGTGCGTGGCTTTGCCGTGTCCGGGAAAAGGGGATCCTGGAGGTTGAGCCGACGCCCGGTGATTGGACCTTTGAGCCCCCCCCCCAGTAGAGACAACACACCCCTTTGGCCCTTTCTTCACGTAGATGGCACCCCTGGGCTGACCCACCCAGGGGAAATCGGCAGTCGCCTTTTCCTGTCTCTCGCTACATCTTCGTTTTTCCCCCCACGTTTTGTCTGTCCTGTCTACTCCTCTCTTCTATTTGCTTCCTTGTTCTCTGGCGGCAAGGGTTAACTTTGTGTGGCTGGCCACCCTGAGTTAAGCCATATTCGGATAGTCGTGGTATACAGCTGGCGTGGGCAGTTCTTGCACGTGAGACCCTGTCCCATCCCCTCGTTGGGCTCCATGGTGGGCGGCTACTACTGCGGCTGAAGCACACACAAACTAGATGGACTCTCCAGTCCTTTCACCTGATCGCCGCCCTCAAAAGAAGACACGCATCAATGTAACATCAAAATTTTTCACTAACAATCAATCCACATTCCCAAGATTCCATGTGATTCACAGCGAACACGCAGCAAGAACAGCGAGACATGTCTCCCCTTTCAAAGCGTCCGAAACCCTTACCGACACCTTAGGGCAGGGGTATAAAATCAAGAAACTAGCCAATGGTGACCTTCTTTTGGAAGTACTGTACAAGCACCAGTATGAGAACCTTTCAAAAATCACTGCCTTCGAAGACATTCCAGTGTCTATTACACCTCATCGATCACTAAACACTGTCCGAGGCATCATTTCTGATGATGACCTCAAATATGTAAGTGAAGAAGAACTCCTGGATAGACTGAAGGACCAAAACATCACAAATGTGTATAGAATAAAAATTGAATGAGCAAAAAAAAGGAAATACAAACAAAGCACTTCGTTCTCACTTTCACATCGAGCATACTACCAGGAATTGTGGAGGTTGGATACCCTAGCAAAAATTCTGATAGAAAAACTGATAGGCTATCAGGTTATTGACAGTTGTATCAGTCTATAGGTGTATCAGTCTATGAGTGTATCAGTGTACCAGTCTATCAGTGTACCAGTCTATCAGTGTACCAGTACTCGTGTGCCAGACTATAAGTGTAGCATTCTACTCTGATAGGTCCACAAGCGAATCGGTGCTTAGCCAACTGGCAGGTGCACCGCTACATCAGAGCAAGCAGGACACAAATATGAACACAGAAATCAAACAAAATATTTTATTTGATGTGCCATTCCTTGGTTAATCTTGATTTCATAAAGTCAATAATTTTGTTTGTCAAAGCTTTATTGAGGAGCTTCTTCATTTGTTCAACCTTTCCAATCAGAACGGTGTGCTTCAAAAAAATGGTTGAAGAAATCTGCATGATCAAAAACAAAGCAAGTTACAGGCACTTATTAAGCGACAATTATGTGCACTCTAAATAGAGGAGTCAATATGACAAGGAAATAATTAGGAGTGCTACCAGTCTGCCTCTCTAATATTGTTTAAAATTAGTTTGTGGATTCTTGCATAAATGTACCCAGCTCCAGTAGGCAAAAGCACACTTGAAGCTTTAGTAAATAATTATAACACAAGTTGACAGTGAAACCTCGGCTGATTACGTGCAAAAATGGAGCCGCCAACTTCCATGAATTTCGGTCAGATTGCAAAATTTCACCTACCAGAAAATACAGCATATGTTTCTTTCTCTTAGGGAGATTTCGCCTCCCCTTTAGACCGATTGGAGGCTGCACCAGTAACACTTCTACCGACTTGGCCTGCTGTATGAAAAATGGTAACGGCCGCCTCACAAACAAAATGGGTCTGTCTTTTCAAGCCCATGGGGTGATTGTACAACCTCTTGGGAACGGCAATTCCTTTGCTCCGATGCACCTATAAAACAAGTCCAAGATGATGTGCACACATTAGTTTGTCAATGCACATTTTCTCATTAAAAAGCAAAACAATATATCTTCAAGACAAAGCATACCAGAGGTTTATGATACCTCTCTGTCAGTGGGCACATAATTGATAAGCGGTGCAGCCTCCCTCACACTTGAGTTGGCTACTTCAGGGCTGTCCGTGGTCACTGTGGTGGTTCCAGCGTAGCAGCACATAGTGGTGGCAAAGGTGCAAGTCGCTTCTGTTTTTGAGGCTTGTGCTGCAACACCCGCAAAGGACAAGGTTCTTTGCTGCAATGAAAAAGTAGAGTGTGCAGAAATAAAGTATATTGCACCCTTAATTGTCACAGTAGCATCCTAGGTTTGCATGGTCAAATAATATATATGATAAACATAGCATGCAATTGAGATATGCAATTAAAGTGTAATGATACGTTGCATGTCACGTCTCAAAACCATGGTTTGATTATAGGGGATGCCATAGTGAAGGGCTCAAGAAATTTTGACCAAATGGTGTTCTTTTTAATATCCACCACACTGTGAAAGTTGTAAAAGCACATTTTCAAGTGATTAGAAAAACATGCATGCATCCATGCCGCCCATGAGCTTACATTGCATTCTGCTTTCCAGCAAAATTGCACGCTTTAAGAATAGGGCATCTTGCTGCTGCATACAACCCTAGCAGCAGTGCGTTACAACAGCTTATGAAGAAATGATAAACCTGTTTGGAAATTTTTGCTGCAAAGGGCATTTTTCATTAGGCTTATTCTTTCTAATGCTTTTGTATTTTGAGCCCTCAGTATATATATTCACTTCCTTCAGAAGCTCTTTCTCTGTTCTTTTTTTTAGCATTAGCAAACAGCAGGCCTCCCTGCTGCTTCTTAAAAGGGTTGCTGACGTGCTTTGTCTTCTGCTTAACAGCAGCTTGACGTCGTGTTTCTTACAACTGCAGACAACCCAACACACAAATTTCACTGCTAGTTCGCAAGCACAAGCAGGGCGTATATCCGCACAAGCAAAAATAATTTTAAACCAGTCAATTGTAAAAAAAAAAAAAATGCGACTAAGCTGCGCTGATTCCACGATAGAATAAAATAAAATAGCTCTTCAGCATGCTGCAACTTTACCAACACCTTCAATACGACGTTCCGGCGCCCGCGCAGTAGCGGAGCAGCGATGCCCTGATATATTCGCTAGGGGGGGGGGGGGGGGGAGGAGTATATCAGAGCATTGGTGCTTCATGTGTGACACGGCACCACGTGCAGAGCAAAATTGGCTGTCGATTGTAATTGCGCCGCAGTAGCACATCAGCCGCAATGTCAACGATTGCCAAACTTGGCTGTCGGTAATAATTACGCTGCAAGTAGCATATCAGCTGCAGTGTGACCAATTGCAACTTACTTCTTAAACGACTCATTGTCCACTTCATTTGAACTGCATCCATCGGAGGAGTCGCAATCGGGTCTGCGTAATGGATGGTCGTTTTTCTGTTGCATTCCTTGCATCATCCTCGGTGGCTAAGAAAATATGACCAGTAAATACCTTCAGAACAACTGCTTCTTCCTCTTTGTTTTTGTATTGGGAATACAAGAGGCGCGGACTTACCGTAAAGCTTAATCACTTGAGCGTGATAGTGGCCGCAGTGTGTGTTATCCTTCCAGAACACTCGGTACCACTTGTGAGGATCAAAATTGCCTGTATCCTTCGGATTGATGTACTTACATGCACTTACCGGGACTATTAATTTTTAATTATCATCGCGAAACCAAACATCTTGGAGAATTGCGAGTGTACAGGCGCGATACTGAGCAATTAAGAGACGCAACAATGTTCACATGCACTACACACGCACCAAGGCCGCCACGAACTTGCTATTGATGACGATGGCAGTGCCATTTGTGGATCTCCGAAGTACTTTATGCAACCACGAGTCCACGACTTCTTCCTCAACACAACGCAATTTAGTTTTTGAAAACAAAAATATTTATTTGTGAAACATTTACTTCATGTTTTTACAACCTTAGAGGGTAGTTTTTTTAGAGCTCATAGCAAATAATATAGAAACAATGAATGCAAATACTGTAAAAAGGTGACGCTGTGCATAGCCTCCGAAATGGCAAACGCGCAATGACGGGCGCGCAGCGGCAATTTCAGAGGTCATGCGCTGTGTCGCCATATTCGCGTTGGTTAGGCTAGGTGGCGTTAGCCGTCACCCAATTTAAAGGTGACGGCTAACGCCAAAATTAAAGGTGAAAGTGAACGCTGGATGACAGAGATACACGAAAAAAAGGAGGCCGCGCCTAGGATTTTTTGGAGCCACATAAAGGCGCTAGGTAGGAAGTCTGTCACAACGCAACAACATATTCTAGATGAAGGAGGAAATCAATTGGAAGGGTACGAAGCGCTAGGTTACATCCAAAAGGTAACAGCCGATTCGTTTCAAAAGAGCGTCCAGGGGATCTCCCCGGTGAGTAAAAGTGTGGCGGAGAAAGCAACAGAGGAAGAGCTAGTACTTGATAATTTCAACTGGAAAAAGGCCGAAGGAAAAATTCCAAAGCGCACTGCCGCGGGTTTAGATGGGATTCCCGTTAGCCTCATTAACGAACTAGGACATAACACTAAAGAAGCATTGTTAAAAGCAGTAGAAAAAAGCTTAAAGGACGGACAAATACCGGACAGTTGGCGACAAAGTAGAATGAACTTAATCTATAAAGGCAAGGGAGAAAAGGACAAGATTCGCTCGTATAGACCACTAACCATTACATCGGTACTATACAGGATGGCGATGCAAGCAGTAAAAATGAAAATAGAAACATGGGCCGAACATAACGATATTTTGGGAGAACTTCAGAACGGATTTCGAGTCGACAGGCGGTTAGACGATAACCTGTTTGTTCTCACTCAGTGTATAGAAATATCCAAAATAGAGCATAGGCCCTTGTACGTGGCTTTTCTAGACATCACTGGGGCATACGACAACGTTAATCAGGAAATTTTTTGGGATATATTGAAAGGAATGGGCATGGGCGACGACTGTATACAGCTTTTGAGGGAGATATACCGAGAAAATACAGTTTGCATAGAGTGGGAAGGAATGCGTAGCAAAGAGAACGTTGAGGTTAGCAGGGTTCTGATACAGGGATGTCCTTTGTCCCCGCTGTTATTCATGCTGTACATGGTGAGTATGGAAAAAGCGCTAGAAGGTAGCAACATTGGTTTTAATCTGTCACACAAACAGGGCGGCATGATGATTGAGCAGAAGCTTCCAGGTTTATTTTATGCGGACGATATCGTCTTATTTGCGGACAGTCGAGATGATATACAGCAGCTGGCGAATATATGCGGAAGGGAAGGTGAAGCTCTTGGACTAGGATTCAGTGTAACGAAGTGTGGATTGATGGTATTCAATGATCCCTGTGATCAGACGGTGTCCATACAAGGCCAAGAAATACCGAGGGTAAGTGAATACAAGTACCTTGGAGTATGGGTAAATGAGAGTGATAGATACATGGAGGTACAGGAAAAAGCCTCGGCAGCAAAAGGAAAGAGGAATGCGGCAATAATGAAGCACAGAGCGTTGTGGGGATACAATAGGTATGAGGTGCTTCGAGGTCTGTGGAAGGGTGTAATGGTTCCAGGGCTTACTTTTGGGAACTCAGTGGTGTGCATGAGGGCAGAGGTGCAAGCGAGAATGGATGTAAATCAAAGGACTGTGGGACGCCTCGCGTTGGGTGCTCACGGGAAGACGACAAACGAGGCTGTAAAGGGCGATATGGGGTGGGCAGGTTTTGAGGCGAGGGAAGCGCAGAGCAAAATAAGGTTCGAAGAAAGGCTAAGAAATATGAAGGAGAGTAGATGGGCAGAGAAGGTGTTCCGTTATTTGTATAGGAAGAGCGTGGACACACAGTGGAGAAAAAGAACTAGAAGACTCACTAGTAAGTATACGGCTGGTATTGTAAGCCGTATGTCAACAAAGAGCGTTAAGGGAAAAGTCAGGGAGGCGGAGAGGATTTACTGGATGGCAGCTATGGAGAAAAAACCGGCTTTGAGTAACTACCGAAAGGGCAAAAATGAAATAAGGAGGGAGGCATTTTACGATAATTCAAGGGGAAGCGCTTTACTGTTTGAAGCGAGATCGGGTTGCCTTAGAACGCGTAGTTATAAAGCAAGATTCAGTAAAGAAGAAGAACAATGCACATGCTGCGGGAAAGATAAGGAAACGGCGGAGCATGTTCTGATTGAATGTGAAGATATCCACCCAGGTGTACGTTTGGGCACGAGCCTACAGGAAGCCTTGGGTTTTAGGGACAACAATGGAAAGCTGAACACACCCGCGATTGAAATAAGTAAGAGACGGTTAGAGTATTGGTGGCAGAAAATTAGAGAGAAAGGACAAAAATAAATATTGGAAAAATAAAATATGGACAGTGTGCCGTAAATGGCAGAGAACTTAAGCTGAAAATTTACCTTTTTTTCCATTAAGATAGAATTTATCGAAGTAGAGGCATTAGGCCAACATAAAAAGAAAAAAAGGTTTTTTTTTTTTTTTTTTGTCGAGCCTGGTGGCATACTTGGCACATAGCCTCCTCTATAACTATATAGGAGGCTATGCTTGGCACCACCCCGTTATAAAGGGTACGCTCATAGCATCCATCCATCCATTAAAGGGTACAGCCGTATCAATCCATTCATCCATTTATCTATCACATTTATATGGCTACAATCATCTAGCCATAATGGCAGTCAGCGACCACCATGGCGGCGACCACCTTCCTCCGTGGCGACCTCAGTACAATACACTTTCACCACGCGAGGGGTTCTGTAGATTCACTACCTCGCGCCGTGATCTCGCGGCACATGTTATAGTTTACGACAAAATCCGCGCCGCGTGCTTAACATTCAAGGCACAGCAAGCAGGTTGTGAATGTGAAGGCTTGGTCGATGTAATCGATCTTTACCCGTTTACTTATTATCAGTCCCGCAGCCTCACTTTTCGTGGACACCATCAAGCGCGCTACTTGAAGTTTGCGTCAAGTTCGACGAGAGATGGATTCAACTCAACCCCTGCCTCGATCAAAAAGAAGAAAAAAAAAAACGCTATTTGGAGCCTGGATCGCAATATGTAGTACCTCGGACAAGGAGCGGTGGGGGCGCCCAGTCGGCCAACCAGCTACACTCAGCAAGAGCATTCCTCAGTCTTTAGCTGGTAATTGATGTTCTGGAGTAGCGGCCTTCGACACGTGAAGTCTGAGTGATGCGCATGGTGAGAGCAATGAAAATCCTGATCCCGACGACACTTACGGCTTCGAGGAAAACTCGCTGAGCGATTCCGACCGGACTGCAGATGCGGCTCGCGACAATGTTGTAATGAGTGACACTTTTTAAATGCAACAATGGCATGTATTTTACACTGGTGCATGTCAATAAACTGCCAGGCTCTGTGTGTGTGCTCATGTGTGAGGCTTACATGAAAATTATTCAAGAACCCATCTCACATTGGTATTTGCTCAGAAACAGAGAAAAAAGTTGTGCTTGAAGGATGTGGCCAGTGTATTTGCACATGAAAGTTGGATGTGTTTGCTATGTTGCTGATGTACCAAACTTGTTTAAAACTTGTGACATATATAGCCAGTCTAATATAAGTTTAGCAAGGTAGAACAACTAAATGTTGACTCGATCCTTTCTATTGATGTTCTCTTCACAACTGAACTTTTCTCATTGTAGGCAGTTTCTTGTGTGTGTGTGGGCGTGTGTTTTGCAGTCAAATGATTTAGCCTTAATTTGTACATGGTTTTTGATTTATCAATCTTGTGAGGATTACAGGCAAGTAATATAGCAGGTCTGTGCCACCGCTTGGGCTCTGTGAAAAGACACACCTGTGAATAACAGATGCTGCTATCAACATATCAGCCAAATCTTGTAGCTGCAAGTGACTTTTTTCATATAGATGACTGTGCTCACTTCGAATTTTCGGATGCCTGTATGTGGTGTAAAACAACTGAAAGCATGCTATTGGCCTATAGCCGAAATAAATCAAGAGCAGCGTTTTAATCGAATGTGCTTCTTGCCACAGTGTGCTGCCACATGCTGGCACTGCTGTCCAAAATCTAACATTGCATAGTCACACTCGCACATGGGAATGGCAACACGAAAAAGCTACTGTGTTTCTTCAAGCATGCTCTAGCTCATAATGTGTGCTTACATATCGCACTTCTTTACTGCCATTCCTCCCTGTAGTTTTTGGCGCAGCTTGTTGGGACCGACGAGAAAAAAAAGAAAGCGGTTGAAGTGTGCAATAAACCCCTCAACTTACTTTGAAATATTTCTGGCAGTGAATTTGCGAGGCATTAAGTTGTGATGATGAAGTCAATTAATGATCACTCAAAGAAGCATTTCATTATTTAAATTATCTCATCCAGTATGGATTATGACACTAATGTAGTGGCTCGTCATTAAAGGCAAAGCACTATGTGGGAGAGACAGCTGGGGTTGGCTTGTGTTGTGAAACGGAGAAACTGCAGCACCACCCGAGGCTTTGGAATCCACGCTGTTTGGAAAAATTATTGTATCAGCAAGCTCATTTCACAGTAGTGGACTGATTATTAAGTTATCTCCCTTGGAATGTTTACTGGCCCTATAACTTAACATTTAGAAATTATGTTAATATTGCTCTGTGATGAGAAGTTTTGTTTGTATTGTTTCAAGTTATGTTTATACTGTCATCTGATAAGCTTTGGATACTAGTATCTTGAAATTTCTAGACATCATCTATCATTGTCAGCATTAACTGTGTTGCTATCTGGCACCTGCAATCCCATTTGTACACAGAATAAAGCGTTCATCTAGGCTGACAGCAGCTTTGCAT